GAGGCGGGTTTGTAGTACGTATTCCATATATGGCACAAACTAACAAGCGAATAGAAGCACCTAACAAGCGAACAGGGGTCCATACTTTTTTTCACTTGTATATTTTTCTACAGTTTTTTATCGACTTATTCGAGCTTTTTAGCTACGCCTTAACTTATTAAAAATTTTCTTATCAAATTTTAACTTAGAATTATGAATTTAACATTTTATAGCCTGACCCGTCCTTTTCCCTAAACCTAACCCTTCGACTACAAATGTAAAGCGCCTTAACTAACTTGACCACGAGAGATTACGCTGGCAAACAACGAATTGTTTGTGACATTTTAAGTATTTTGCATTGCTAATAGCACCGGTAAATTGGGATTCCTTAGGGGCCGCTATTCGCTTGTTAGGTGCTTCTATTCGCTTGTTAGGGGCCTCTATAAGCTTGTTAGTTCATACCATATATGGAATACGTACGACAACCCTACCTCCGGTAAGCAGTGTCTCTATCCGATCTGATATAAACACGGTCATCAGCCAATCAGAGCGCGCGTTATATATCACAAATCAAATATTTTAGAAAAGACAATAGGCTTTACATGGACAGCTTATGTTTGAAAAAATTGAAGCTTTTGATACCTAGAAAAGGAGAAAACGAGAGCCAAAACAAAATGATAATAATAATATGCAGTAGGAAAACCGAACTTGTGTGTAGTTGAGTGGGTAATCTTAATTGCTCACACTTTTAACCTGGTGTATAACACACTGTTTTCTCGTGGTCATCGGCGGTCATACGACTCTCGCTTAGATACGCGTTTACGGCGAACGCCAAGCGTTAAAACTGATCACGTGATCACTGTTTTTCTGTATTAACGTTCCGTTCTTTCGCGATTGTGTATAAAATAGATCACTTTTTCGTGTATAAGCACATCACTATTCCTTTCGAAGCGTTTTTACGTTTGTTTGAAATTTTGAGACAAAGCATAAAAACCAATTTGACGTTTGGCGTTTGCAGTGAACGTGAATCTAAAACTCTCTGGCTTGTCGTTTGTCACAAATTACATATTAGTTTACGTCGCGTTTAGAAAAGAACAGGAAACAGGCTGTGGCAAGATAACCCGTGTACACGGTGCCTCATCACATATATCTACTTCTATGCAATCTTTTCATACGGTGAACCAGGCWTTTAATTCATTTTATCTTGAGTTCGGTGAAATTGATGATTTTTTTAAATTAATGAACTTTATGTATAGTTTAAAACACGAGAAAGAGTGTTTAATCAGGTATTGTCTCCGCTCATGCCCAATCTCCTCGAAGAGAGCCCGATATAATGGGTGGATCCTCAATTTACGGAAGGGAATTCCTGTTTCCATATCGACCGGCGGAGGCGCGCGGAATTTTGAAATTAAGATCCTGAGAAATGCGATTTTCAGCATTTTTAAGGATTTTGACAAGTATTTGTTTTTTTACAATTATTCAGAAAATAGAAGTGGAGATATTCGTTCTTTACAGGTGAAATGCTTGAAATGTCCGAATACGGTATATGTAGAAAGCGACAACATTTATAGAGTTAGAAGAAAGCTAAAGGGGATTGACTGCGTGTTAATTATGTTCATCTGTCTTCCAGTTAAACAATGGGGATTGACGTGGAGGCTGTCGAGAGCGCATTTGAGTGGGAAACCTTTGAAAATGGCAAGCCGTACCTTGGAACTTATAAGCAGGAAATTCCCAGTAAGTACGGCCTTAAACTTGGCATACGTTAATCTAGCGCGCATATCATCGAAGGATCAGGGAGAGAGACGCGTCTTTTTGGAACAGGAGCGTAGCCATAGATACTGTAGGTTTGGTTCCAATCGACAAACTTCAGATAAGGACTTGATTGATTTAAGTGAAATCACGTTTTATGCGCAGTCTCGTCTGTTGTCTTCCTGAAGGTATAAGACGCGGTAGAAGAGCTTGAGTCCGACGGCAAGAGTCTATAATGGTGGATGATTTTTTTCAGATCGAGTGAGGATGATGACAATGAAGCTTGATTTAAAAGACTGGATTAAAATTGATAAAACGTACGCATCGCAACAGCACGAGAAAGAACGACTTATAAAGACAAACAGGAACGACGTGTTTGTGTGTGACGGACCTCTTCCCATGGATCATTCTAGTTTAGCCAAGATGGTAGTTTATAGATTGTTCTAGAACTTTCTATGAACCTTTAGTTATATGCTTTCTAGAATATTCTTCATGTGGTTAAGTGTTTTCCAGATCCTTCTAGACTTAGAGAAATGCTGAGTAATGTTACACTATAGAGATTTCTAGAATGATGTAATATCTATATTTAGTAACAGTGTAATGGGATATTTAGTAACCCTATGTGTATATAAGAGGCAGTCCAGCAACAGTCAGGAGAGAGTCCAGCTCAGAGTTAGTAATTGTAAAAGACCTAGCTTCAGAGGACCAAGAAGATTAAAGAAGTTTTCAGTTCTTACTGTCTGGCAATTTGATTAAGTGTCAGTTCGTGACATATTTGGTGGCAGCGGTTAAGGAGTCAATTTGTCGAAAGTATTCCCAAGAAGAATTCACGAGTAGACAAGACCCACAGCGACAATGACAGAAGAAATATCAAAAACCAGATCAGGTAAAGAATTTAAAGGAGACAATGGTCAAGAAGATCTAGAAGAATTTTATCCTAAAGGAAAAGATGAAGACGATTCAGATGAATTACAAAAACCAAGGTCTGACGAGTCTCAAACAACCGATATTATAAAGCTCATGCAGTTTATGGTACTACAAGAACAGAAACGAGAACAGGAAAGAAGGGAAGAAAAAGAAAGACGAGAACAGGAGAGAAGGGAAGAAAAAGAAAGATATGAACAGGAAAGAAGGGAAGAAAAAGAAAGATACGAACAAGAGAAGAGAAGATACGAACAGGAGAAACGGGAAGAAAGAGAAAGGTATGAAAGGGACAGAAGGCTAGAGATGGAAAGGCAAGAAAGACTGGAGAAAGAACGGGAAAGAGAACGACAAGAAATGAAGAAACAGTTAGACCAAGTGCAGCGACAAAGGAAAGAGGAATTACACCAACTTGAGAGTATGATGAAGCTAAGAGAAGTAAATATGACGAAGTTAAACCCAACAGATGACATTGAAAACTATCTCACAACGTTTGAGCGAACAGCCAAAACGTTTGATTGGCCAAAGGAGAAATGGGTGGTGAAGTTGGTACCCTACCTAACCGGTAAAGCCCAAGCTGCTTATGCTGCCATGTCAATCACCGAGAGTAATGATTACGACAAAGTTAAAGAAGCCATATTGAAGCGATATGACATAACAGAGGAGACGTACAGGCAAAGATTCAGGTCAACAAAGAAATTTAGAGATGAAAGCTATAAAGAAATGTATGTACGACTGAAAGACTTGTTCAGAAAATGGACCAAACCAGATGGGAAGACAGTAGATGAGATTACAGAGACCGTGATCATGGAACAACTGGTAGACACAATGCCCCCAGGAGTACAGATATGGGTACGAGAACACCGTCCAAGCACAGGAGTAGCTGCAGCAGAGTTGGCGGACGACTACTTTGATGCACGTAAAGGGATTCAAAACGAACCACCGAAAAGACCACATACAACCCAAGAAAGGTTACCGACAAGTCCTAAGGACAACGAGAAAGAAGGGACACCGGCTAATCAAGCTGAGAAGGTTAACAGTCCACAACCCTGGAGAAGTAATGACAAACCCAAAATAAGATGCAGAAATTGCAACAAAGAGGGTCATATAGAGAAATTTTGTCGCAAGAGGACAAGTTATCTCTCCAGACGAAGCAATAAATGCCCATATACAGATTTTGTTATACCTGGACGAATCGACGGACAAAACGTTGAGATGGTTCTTGATTCAGGGTGTGACATGACACTAGTTCACTGGGACCTGGTTGACCCAAAGAAGATAAATCATCAAGAGCGGACACACATCAGATGCATTCATGACCACCATTCGGATTACCCCACGGCTAATGTGTTAATAGAGATCAATGGCGAGCCATCTGAAGTAGTGGTAGGAGTCAGCAAGGATCTGCCGAGACATGCTTTGCTGGGTAAAGACTTCCCACAGTTCTACGACCTCCTAAGCAAAGTACGACCAGAGGTAGAAGATGGCCTAGTAGTAACGAGAGCACAAGCAAGGCGTGACAAGAGACAAAGGGAGGAAGAAACAAAAGAAGAGAAGAGATGCAAAGTACAACCGAGAAATTTAGACGACATCGTACTGCCTGACATTTCCAAAGAATTCGGTCAAATGGA